CAACACCGCACAATCTGGGCTCTGTTTACCAGGCTGCTGGCCTGGCTGAAATACTCGGACGCCAATGAAGGTCACCTATCAACTTAGAGTAGTGCCTAAAGATTATTTGGTGCGGCTATAAACGACCGTTAAATGAAATGATGACTTTTTGAAGGATTTTGAAAACAGACAAAATGACAGTCATGCTGGCCCAGCATCATCAACATTGAAATATGCCCCGGCATAAAGTGGTTAAGAGAAGATGCAAATACTGAACTTGGACTATGAGTGAAGAGCTATGACTGGACATATCTTTACAGTCTATTTCCAAACACGGAGAAAGTGTTCAGTCATAAACTTGGTCCTTTTCAATTTCAGCCTCTAATGCTCCATGAGGGAGAATGAAGTCCTCTGTAAGTGTTGGCTTTCTAAACAGCACCCTCAAATCTACATTGCCAGTTCAGTATGTTAATGAGACAAGGTGTTATCAGGTTATCACCTGATAACACATCAGCCCGATGATGATCAGTATAACCTGATGTACAGTCTTGCTGTAATAAACTAACTATATTACACTTACTTTTCCAAATGACCTCCAGCACTGCTTCATTTTGTGCGTGCACTGTCGAATACCAAATCTTGCTTTCCTTACAAAGGGGTAAATTCCTAATGGCATCCCATTCCCCCTGAACCGGCCAACTCACCAAGGCAGCTTGCTTGAGTTCCACGATCTCTAGGAACTGCTCCTGGACCTCCACCCTCAGCTTCCGCAGCTCTTCCTCCCTGTCAGCTGCCGCTTCTGCCTCGCTGCCCAGCCTGGCATTGGTCCCCCGCTGGGCATGCATCCGTTCCTTACTCAGCACCTTGCGCAGGCTCTGGTTCTCCCGCTCGAGACGGCAGCGCATGTTCTCTTTCAGTGAACGCTAAAACGTGCAGAATGAGGGGATGTGGTTTGCAAGTTGATGCATGACATAGTCACAGCCACTGCTGTACTGCCATTGAATTTTAAAAGGAGCTTCCAATATAATATGTACCGGTACATGGCGCTCTAGAGGAATTGATGCATTCATTTCTCTTCAAAATCTGACATGATAGCAAATTAACTAGTGAGACATGACCTACATGTATTAAAGCCCAACTACAACTCCACATCTTTTTCTTTTTCATCTGCAGCACCACACTAACAAAGTTTACAGACTTGTAAATGCATTTCAGGCCAAGAGGCAAAAATTTACAGGTAAGTATAAGCAGATTATTCGTCTCAACATGCAGGATTCCAAAATAAGAAAATTACAAATGTAAAACAATATCTTTCTCAAATCGCTGGGATCCAAGTGGTTTCAGGGGTTGAAAAGTCCATATACATGAGCTGTATGTACTACATGTATTGCACGGTGAGTCACTCCACAGTATTTTTAAAATTCAAACCAAGGCATTTTATAACATGTAGGGTAACTGGGTCCAAGAAATGGAAAAACCACTGTTTGTTGTGTTTTGATTTTCGTTTTCAAATTGAAAAATTAATAAAGGAAACGTACACAGACCTAACTGTCACTGCTAAAGCTCCTGACCATTTAGTAATAAAATTTCGTAATAATTGCTATGTTGACTCTCCATCCCTCACCAGCTTCTGATTTTCTTCTGTCAGTGCCTTGTTCCGCTCGTCTACCTTCTTCTTAGATCCTTCAAGGTCTTTTATCTTCCGTACCAAACGTTTGTTCTTTTCGATGAGTGGCGTGGTGTTTCTTGCCTCGGTAGAAGTTCGAATTTTCCTTTCCTATGGTATGTGTAGGAACAAGTAGTTCATATTAGTTACCCAGGTAGGCTTCGACTGGATACCAGTTGGTGGCCATCCGGATACATGTATCACTGATTCTTCTGCAGAATTACGTTTCCAAGGAAAAAGGTTGCCTTAATGTGTGTGTGGACACAACAAAAATACATACATGCACCGGTATGTTTCAGTTACATGTACATGTAAGTTCATTCTAAGTCAGTGCTTGTCAAGATGGGATCGTATGCCAAACTGTGAAACCTGCTCAATCTATAAATATTGATACATGTGTACATGTATGCCATGTACACATGCACATAAAAAAACTCTATCTGCCAGAGCTAAACTCCTTCACTCAAAGCTAAACTCAGATGAAATTAATCCAGTGCACATTGCTCATATGTGACTCACTCTGTGAAAATGAGTCTTAAGTCGCCAGAGCCACTTTCTGATCTGAGTTGTAATTTGTATTCGAAAGAGCAAATTGAGTTTTTTTGTTTTGATGTATCACTCAGTTTGGCATCGTGATGAAAATTGATACTCCATGGCGAAAAATGCTGTGGGTTCCTATTGATTTACAATGTGCAAAATTATTCTAAAGGACTTTTTACTCCAAAGTGCCTCTGGCGACTTAGAGTCATTTTCACAGAGTATACATATAGGTATGTACATGCTTTTAAAATAAAAAGTCATGTACCAGTTCACTGTACAATGTCCAGGTAGGAGGCTGCCTTAGTTGGCTTTGACACACACTTATTATGCATATGCATCAACACAATTTCATAAATAACGTAATTATTTTTTAAATGAAATGCATTTGTGGGTTAAAATCATTGTCCTTTTTGTGGTCAATCATTGTACAAAGCAACATAGTTTTCTCCAATGATCATCTGAAAAAGTCCAATTCTGATAAAAAATTTAACACAAAATTATTCAAGAAGAGACTGAAGCGAGTCAAACTTCAGTGGAATCCACGTTTTTACAGCACAATTTGTAACTTCGCAAATTTCTGACTGGACGTTCTCATCAGGTGGTCCATAAATATACCAACACCCAATTAAGGAGCTTCCCCAGTACATAGCGAGGTGATGAGAGAATATCGGGGGATTACCAGGTCTGCCTTGTCCTCAACGAGTTGTTTGTTCCTGTCCTCCAGTTTCCTAAGGGCTGCGTTCAGGTCGACAATTTTTCTGTGCAACTTCTTGTCTTCCTCATCGTTTCCACCCTGAGTAAAGTTAGGGAAACAGCAAACACATACATGTACCATGAGTGCTGGTACTGTGCACGAACTAACCTGAGTAAAGTTACAGTGTACATACATGTAGGGCAAAAGCGAGCACATAATTGTACATGTACATGTATGCACTGGAAGAACTGTACACTTACATGTAAGTCTACATGTGCAATGTGTGCAACCTTTCTGTATGCTTTTCAAATGAATATGTGATTTGAAGGTTGAAATTCCTTCCAAACGTGTGCAGGATTCAGAAAAGAACCAGTCAGTGTACTGTTTTACTGTCTAAAACCTTGACTACACCACTTCCTTCCAGAATCCCGGGCCAATCACTCTTAAAAGAGATTTCAAATGGTTCTACCACAAACTTGTCAAATACACACAGACTGTACATGTAGTTGCTTGCATGTACATACATGTAAGGTTGTCACATCCACCCTGGGCAAGTCTAAAGTGTTTGATCATATTGGTACCCCTGTGGTTAGATTATCCATCGTGTAATCCCTGGGGTTTTCCCTCAACATAGGAAGTGGCATCCACCCTGGCCAAGTCTTAAGTGTCTTTATCTCTGTGGTTAGATTATTCATCAGGTTATCCCTGCAGATTCCTCTCTACATAATTATGGTAGTCCCATCCATCCTAACCAGTCCAAAGTGTTCGTCACATTGATACCTCTGTTGTTAGATTATCCATCATGTAATCCCTGGGGTTTCCCCTCTACATATGAAGTGGCATCCACCCTGGCCAAGTCTAAAGTGTCTTTATCTCTGTGGTTAGATTATCCATCATGTAATCCCTGGGGTTTCCCCAGGGCAACCATCCCATGGCCCTGAAAGTGGCTCTGGCACTGGGGGCTGCCCTGGGGTAACATGACATCACTTGCATGAGCTGATGGGTAGGATGTATAAGTGAACAATGAACTTACGTGTA